AATCTGGCTTTCGTAAGAGTTTTTTGTACAACTCGCGTTTTGTGCACAATTCGCGATTTTTACCAAAACTTGGTTTACTCAACGTCTATCATACGCAGAAATAATTTATTATACGTTATTATGTTAATACGGAATTTGTCCCCTATTTTCTAAAACAAGTCGCAACGTGTTTTATCATATTAATTATGTGATGTTGTGGAACCGCTCTGCGAAAAGCTGCTATATTGCAAGGCATTCTTTTTTTATGGCGCGCAGGTGATACGTTTACCCCAATTTATTGCTAAAGTTTTACTTGCATCATCCGTAACACACTCTGAGGCGGCCAAATTACGAAAGTGTATTATTTTTTCTTTGATCAAATAAAATTACCTGCGTGCCGATAATAAGAAGTGATTCTCCTTTCGAGTAATATACGCGGTGGTTATGTTTGAGGCATTCTGAGCGATTGGAAAATCGATTTAGCCGTTACGTCGGAGTACGTCTCTCGATTTTAACCACTGACCAAAAGAAATTCATATATACTTCGTTATGAGACAATGACTCGACATTATATATCCTCATTTAATCATTGTTTCTCTATCTATTAGCTCGAGAAGTTTGGTAGGATGACGGATAACTCAATATTATTGACCAGCCTAGTTTCTCGTATTACTATTTCGATTAACAGCTTCTTAATATCCAATTTGATACGTACCAATCCGTAATATTGATTCTAAGCCAGTATTGGATTACAATGATTTTTGCGGACTGACTACCATCCAAGCCTTTCGAACACGCGGCATACGAAAGTCAGAAGTTTTAGTTGCGCGAACGCCAATTCAACTTTGTAAGGTGCACTGATGACGTAATTCCTAAAGGAAATAAAATTGAGCGATCTGGGTGTATGTAAAAGACGCTTATGGGATGCAAGTTTATTTAAAAAAATCTTTGTGAATGTATACACTTACATCAGGCAAGATATTCAGCCTACTGTACCTTCCAGCATCAGATCATATTTTGCGTTTTAAAGTTAGTTATAATATACTTATATGACTGAAATTTTTTAACTATCATAACAAATAGTGAGAATCTGTTAACTTGATGATTGTGTCAAGACCTCGTTTTTCAATAAACGCGATATGTACCATTACGCTTGCTTCCAAGCTTAAGTGTTGAACAAACAGGTATGCTCGACGTACAGTTCAGTGTATCAGGTGCAATATGTCGGGACTGTTTGCGTCGCTTTTTCTTGCCAGCAGATATGTACAGATTTTCTTAGACTCGCATTGTTACGCGTCAACGATATCGTTTCAATGCTCGTGTTACATTATAGTACAACTATGCATATTAATTTTTTCCTGGCTCGTTGATCTTTCGGCAAATATTAGATAGTCTATACTATGACACTCACCTCCCACAGGTAAAAGACGCTTTTATAACCTAATACTTTTCTCTTCTCGCTAAACAATATATTATAAGAGATATACGTTGTTACTGTAAATTTGTGAATAAAAGTTCCTCGCAATAGTTACTGTAAATTATTATGCACATAAATTACACAATATGTACATTATTTCAAATGCGAAATAGCGTTTATAAAAGTTTCGTTCGCTCTACTTTCAACAGCATTGCAACTAATTCACTAAATGATTAAAACGGACTGTGGAATAGAATTCCATTCCTCTGTTTAAATTCTCTATGCTTCCATGTGCCAATTTATAAAATATCGCACAGTGTAAGTAACTTTGTGGCCCTTGCTAGCTTAGGCACAGAATTGACAACTTTATTCCCATAACGTAATAAGGAAAAACTGTCATTTATATGTGTTTTTCGACATGTTGACAGCTTAATTTAATGGTTTCCTTTAGGATGCATATTAGAGAAATGTTGTCTATATTTTTAGATGACTGAACTAAATTTAACTATTGCTTAAAGTCTTCCGCGACAGGTTAGTTTTTTGTCGCGCTACATAAGTATTAAATTATTAGCAAATACTGTCAACACAACTCAAACTAGTTTTTTTATTAAATAGATTATTGTTATCTACAGACGTCTGAATAATAAATCAGTGAAGACGCACAAATGAATATTAATTCTTGGTGTTATAACATGGACCATGTAGATAACCCCTGTCCGAGAGGTCTTTTGTTGGTAACTCGATTCCATTAACAAATTTAGCAAGAGAAACTCGTAAGTACAGAAATAACCTTATCCTTTAAAATATAAGTTTTTAGGAACGACTCGGCAAAGCAAGTCGTGAGGTAATTCAGCATTGGAATAAAATAGAAAACATTGCATGTATTGTAGCGTAACTAAATCGCCAATTTTCTAAACTGTAGATCAATTACCAAAAGTCACGTGGTATATTTAATTAGTTTCTAATTGGCGTCGATTTTATATTGGTATATTTTATTAAAGAAATAAGTATGTAGTCGATCCAACACAATAATTTTAGAACTTCTCCCAAACCACTAGCCCAACTGGCATATTATTTTTTAGCATTCAATCGAGCAAAGGAACGCACACCTATAAGCAAGATGTCACGTAATTACACAATTAGCAGTTTCGTTATTAGCATTTGCATTATCATCTCGATTTGCTTTTGACGTTGGACGTTCCATGTAATACCAATCCCAGTTGTGGATGCGGCTACCGTTCGTATTAAGCATTTTCATCACACAGGTGCACCAGTTTTAGCAGAATTTAGCCCTTATTATTCTATACCAGGTTCTTAAAAAGTTTAAACCAATAACTGGTATCACATGATTCCACCCTTAACCGCACCATTTTCAAAAACCTTCGCCCAAGGAAGATAAAAATCCATAGACCTTCAAAATATTATATCTTTAACATAAACAAAGCACCTTTTTTAGTTCTCTCAATTAAAATACAGTAACATAGATAATACTAGAGTATCTCTTGCTACAACTGCCTCGAAATGGGGTCGCAAGATCCGCCGAGGAGGAATTCTGTCCTTTCTGGATCGCCACTTCCGACGACCCCTTCCGACGAACCCGTCTTCTCCAGTAACATTGAAGACTATGACATACTCGCCCCGATAGGTAAGCAACGGATTGGGCTATCAACGAAAGAGTGAACCAACTGTCAAGCACGAATGGCAGGCTGTCGATTTGTTTCTAATAAATTGTATCAATTTAGGATATGGTTCTTCTGCTGTCGTTTATAATGCTATATACAAACCACTGAACAAACAAGTTGCTGTAAAGACTATTGATCTGGATCGTTTTGAGAGAAATCAGATCGACGAACTAAGAGTACGTAAAGCCTTTTCATATTTTGAGTTTTTTTTTAACCGATGCTTATAATGTGAGTTATCTCATACATGATATACTTTTTTTTTTGAACAGAGAGAGACCCAGGTTATGTCGTTGTCGAAACATGAGAACGTATTACGGGTACACAGATCTTTTGTTCATGAATCAAAGTTATACATTATCACGCCATTCATGGCTGCTGGTAGGTGAAGATATCATGCGTAGCAGCTTTATCCTTTTTTAATTGGTGGATGTATATCCTAATTAAGAAAACTTGTACTTGTGCAGGATCTTGCTTAGATATAATGAAAACAGCGCATCCTGATGGATTAGAAGAAGCAGTAATCGCTACTATTCTAAAACAAGCACTACAAGGACTGGCATATCTGCATAAGAACGGTCATATCCACAGGTACTCTACTTGGTTGAGGAAAATATTTGGCAAAAAAAAAAAAAAGACCAAAAGGAACAGAACACGCTTTTCCCCAATTTTAGCCGTAACTTACAAATTTCTCTTGTTTGCTATGTTGTAGAGATGTAAAGGCTGGTAACCTGTTGATGGATAGCGATGGATCGGTGCTTCTCGCGGACTTTGGCGTGTCTTCGTCGTTAATGGAAAATGGAGATCGCAGAGGATATCGCAAGACTTTCGTCGGGACACCATGTTGGATGGCACCAGAGGTAATGGAGCAGGCAGGATACGATTACAAGGCTGACATTTGGTCATTTGGCATTACTGCCATCGAATTAGCCACTGGCCATGCGCCTTTCTCAAAGTATCCTCCATTAAAGGTTTGTGGCTTTAGCATAGGATGGGAGATTATTAAACTTGATAGCTGAGATGAACAACAAAAATTTAACGCTACGTTAGTGGATTTCGAAGATCGATTATACTCTAGCCTTTTAACATTTCTCGCTTGCATAGGTTCTCATGCTTACAATCTCAAACGATCCTCCAACTCTAGACAGAGATTCGACAAGACACAAATACAATAGATCTCTGAAGGAAATGATTGATGCATGTCTTCAGAAGGATCCGACGAAAAGGTGAAAAATTGTCCCAGTGGTCATGAATTTTGTTTATCCAATATCACGAGAGCTCACTTTCTCAATGCGATATTCCAAACACAGACCGTCCACGGAGAAGCTTTTGACATTCTCGTTTTTTAAACACGCAAAGAAGAAGGAGTATCTTGTCAGCAGGCTATTAGCTAACCTTACTCCTTTGCAAGAGCGACCTCACAAAAGTATGCTTTCTTTCATTGGTTTTTGGTATCGTAGTTGGACAAATTCGCTGAAATATTTTTTTTTTGCACTATCAGGAGTTCAACAGAAACCAATTATGATAACAAAATCAGTATCTTGGGAATTTGATTTCTCAGAAGGCGAAAAGGATCATTCCCTTGAAGACTCGTCCCAAAAAGGTTCCGCATCACATTCTCCTCCAACAGTCAGACGAGTATCATTTGTCGATCCCATCCGTTCCAATAGCAAATCATCCGAAGATGCATTGTCAACGGATATTGGTCGAAGGACAGTATCTAGGTTCTCAGTAGTCGGATCTGAACCCGGATCTGCGCTCTCTTCGTCACTCCCTAATAGATCATTTGATGCATCAGTCATTATGCAATCTGCATTGTCTCAATCGCACCCGAATTTTAGTGGATTTGCTGGCGTCCAAGAAGTCAACAGCGCGATACAGGACGCGGAAGCATCGGAGCAAGTTAAAGGAAGATTTACTTTTAAGTCATGTACAAGAGATAAAACTGTTTCTAATACGCCAATGGAGGAAGACGAGCCTCAAATGAATGAATCGAAAGCGCGCGAAAAGGAGAATCTTGAAGGTGTGTGCTATTCCAATATGTTGGCAGCTTGTTACCAGAATTTCTAACGATTTTCTTTACATACGACCCATACTGCAGAATTGAACAAGAAATCCAGATTCGAAATAACCGCACATCCAACTGAAACAGAAGATTCCTCCTCGTCTTCAGTCTCGGCACAATCTGATGTTTCCAAGTCAGTGACAGAGCCCGTTTCTACCCCGGGTGCTACTAAGAGGGGCAGATTCGAAGTATCTAGTGTTGATGCTTCCCAAAAGACAAACGGATTTTGACAGGTACCGTAGACAAGTAAAAAGAAAATTGATTACCCCCCATAATGAATAATTTGAGATGAAATTTTGGAGTAAAGTGCTCTAGTATTTATTATTATTATTATTACTCTTATTATCCGCTATTATTTATTTTTATTTATTATGTGATTGGTGGAATAAGATTTTATTTCGCACAAAGGCATAAGTGATTAATCTTGTAAGATAAGTTTTAGGGAGTAAAAATAAAAAAGCGTCTTATTCTCCCAACCAGCCTTATATAGTCAAAATTTAGTCCAATCGATATGCATCGCGCGCTTTGCAAACGGCGTAAGAAGCACATAGAGAAAAAAAAATTTTTTTCCCAGGCTAATTACAAAAATTTGTACATTTCTAAAAGCAGAGTTTTGATTTCTTTCTTTTTTTTTTTATGAATAAAATTTCTATTTTCTAACATGACCAATACTAATACCAACATTTTTCAAGGAGAACTATTCATATGGGACGTGCGTAGTGCTGCAACAAAACCAGACAAAGTGAACATAGTAACAGTGAGTAGTAAAAGAAATTCATCGCCGCCCTCCCCCTTTCATACTTACTATATTCATTCTTCTCGAATGGATCATTCTGGTGTTACGATTGTAAAAAAGGCTGGTGGCAAGGTTATACCTATAACAGGGGAGCGGCTGATGGTCATATTATATAAATATTCCCACCGCAAATACAAAACGTTTTCATCGAAAAACTAACGTTCGTCATTCTTTTTTGTTGATACACAGTAATTGTAGTAATCGAAAACTGACATCCTCTGCACATATCAAAATAAAATATGGCAGTAACAATGATATGCGTTTGCAAACTTTGATCCGTTGAACAGTACTTTCACTTGAAGGACGTGAGTCACAGACATATTAGATATATGGGTCACAGGGTAATTGTGAAAATTGCTTTGCGAGATAAAATAAATGTGGATCCAGAATTTGAATGAAATTTATCAGTGTTTTACAACTGAAACGTAATACTGTAATATCGATAAAAGGAAATTTACTGTAAACTACAACGTTCTGAAATTTACCGCATAAATCCGTAAGCTATTAATAACAGCAGATCTCAGAAGAGGAATCTTGCATGTGTACATTACATATCCCATCCGATGTTCTTATATACCACCTCCCCACTCTTTTCGCTGTGGCGTCCAAGCTAACTAACACTGTTCTATATTATAATACTACAAAACACTCATAATAATAACGATAACGACAACGATATTATGAACATGAACGACGAATACCTTGTCCGCGTCATGACGCGAGTCAAACTGCCGGGCTTCCAATCCAGACACGTAAACGGGACGTCCGTGAAAGTGCGAACCACGGACACATTCGGGGCTGTTATACATAAAGTCTGCAATTCGTTCGTCTTCTATGAAATCAAAAAAGTCTCTGTGAGGATAGGGGGAATCCCGTATACCGTCAGCCCGGACAGAAATAAAACAGTTCTAGGCAGTTGTGTGGGCAGGCATTTGTCAACAAAAGAAGTGCCGGAGCTAATATATCTCCTTAATTTCTTCATACCAGAAGGTCCGTTTCGGATTTCTTATGTTATTGTTTTAACTGACTGTTTACTAACTTTAATTTTTACAAATAGCATGCTTTTCCCCAACCCCGCCGCCGTCTCCGACACATCACACGTCATCAGCAGTCGTCGCAGTCGCCGGGTAACATCGGACAGACGCCGGCGGGAAATTAGGCGGGAAACGCGGGCATATGATACAAGACGTGTATAAATTAAAGCGTTGGAATCATGATATCGTGGACCGATAGTTTTTTTTGTAGTTAGTTTTTTGTTATTGCAAGTTATGAACTTGCGAGAGAATTGGGCATGTATAGCTGTCAGCCAGTTAATTGTTCATGTATATAAGAATAAAGTATTGTAAGATGAATATTAATTAACAATGTCAAAGTGATTTCTTTTTTCATCCTGCATGATGATTGACAAAATTCCCAATACTAATACTAAATACATTTGTCCA